GATTCCTCAGCAAGCACAATGGGGACCCCTCCCCCCCATGCTACCCGAGCCTGGCTACAACATTAACAACAGGATTGCTTCAGAATTAAAACTTAAATGAATTCCTGATTTTTTGCAGCATTTAAACCAAAAAAAAAAAAAAAAAAAAAAAAAGAAAGAAAAAAAAAAGAAAGAAAGAAAAGAAAACAGAAAACAGAAAAAAGAAAACAGAAAAAATGGGGGCATATGTCTGTAGTTCCAGCTACTCAGGAGGTTCCCTTGATCTTGGGGAGAATGAGCTATGATGATGCCACTGAACTCCAGCCAAGGAGACATAGCAAGATTCTATCTCAAAAAAATTAAATAAAAATAAAATAAAATAAGAATTAATACTTTTAGAGATTTTATCCCATTCTTTAATATATTTGTCTTAAAACCAACGCAATGAAAGTCTTGCAATGAAACTTAATCTGACATTTAAACATTCCTGAAAAATTATGAACTTTAATAGAATGAAAACTTTTTGCTCAAAAATATCCTCATTGTACCTGTAAACGGTGGCTCATGCCGGTAATCCTAGCACTTTGGGAGGCTGAGGCAGGTGCATTACTTGAGCTCAGAAGTTCAAGACCAGCCTGAGCAAGAGAGAGACCCATCTCTACTAAAAATAGAAAAATTAGCTAGGCATTGTGCTGGGCACCTGTAGTCCCACCTACTTGGGAGGGTGAAGCAAGAGGATTGCTTGAGTCCAAAAGTTTGAGTTTGCTATGAGCTATGACACTACAGTACTTTACCCAGGGCGACAGAATGAGACTCTGTCTAAAAAATACAAACAAAACCCCCAATCTCATTGATATTCCTTACTCTAATTGAAAATTAAAAGAGAAAGCATTTATGTATACTTGTATATACAGAATATACAGTATATACTTGTATATACAGTATACAGGACAACCTTAGTTGGTAGCTTTAACTGAGAGTAAAATTCTCTAATACTTCATCACAGAAGAATTTTACCTACTAAACATGGAAGGTATAACAGACCTAAAAATTATAATTTTGCAACTGTTAATAGAATAACTGACTCAGGAAACAATTCATGGTTGGATAAAACCATCCAACCAAGATACATGGTTGATAGGAAACTTGATAACAGAGCAGGCCATTCCTGCGAAGCTACTAAGGCTGAGACAACTAAACACTGCTTGCCAAGAAAAAAAAAAGTTGAATAATCAAGCCTCTACAGCAAATTTCCCCTTCCAGAAAATACAGGAGCTAAGAGGACCAAGTTAAATGGTTACCACCAGGAAGCAAACAGACCACTAATGGGTATGGAATATTCTACAAGACAAATGATCTCATTTCTATAACAATAATAGTATAAGGGTTAAAAGAAGGAAAACTAACATAATTAACAGAAACATAAAAACATATTTTGAGGATCTTGTTACCCCTTCTGAAGACAATTGGAATTTAGTTACAGGCTAAGTTACATGATGCCAAGGTACTGGAATCTTTTCTTAGTGTGTATTAATGGCATTGCAGTTAAATGAAATGTAAATAGGTAAAAAGGCTAATATGAAATGTATAACATGTGATGTCTAGAATTTGCTTTAAAATACTTTAGCAAATTAAAAAAACAGAGGGAGATAAAAACAAAAAGGATAAAGCTCATGTATCAAAATCTTGATGACTGATAATTGTGGTGCTGGTTTTGTTTTGTTGTTTTTGGCTGCGTCCAGGTTTGAACTCGCCACCTCCAGTATATGGAGCCAGCGCCCTAACCCTTGAGCCACAGGCGCCGCCCTAATTCTGGTGCTGGTGTATGAGATTCATTATGCTCTCTCTAATCTAGGTTTAAAATTTTTCATAATAGGCTCAGCGCCTGTGGCTCAAGTGGCTAAGGTGCCAGTCACATATACCTGAGGTGGTGGGTTCAAATCTAGCCTGGGCCTGCCAAACAACAATGACAGCTACAACCAAATTGTGGAGGGTGCTTGTAGTCCCAGCTACTTGGAAGGCAGAGGCAGGAGAATTGCTTGAGCCCAGGAGTTAGAGGTTGCTGTGAGCTGTGATGCCCATGCACTCTACCCAAGGTGACAGCTTGAGGCTTTGTCTCAAAAAAAAATAAAAAAATAAAAAAATAAATAAATAATTTTTTTTTTTTTTAAAATAATAGGCTCAGCGCCTGTAGCTTAGGCTAAGACACCAGCCACATACACCAGAGCTGGTGGGTTGGAATCCAGCCTGGGCCTGCCAAATAACAATGACAATTACAATAAAAAAAAAAAAAAAGCTGGGAGTTGTGGTGGGTGCCTGTAGTCCCAGCTATGTGGGGTGCTGAGGCAAGAGAATTGCTTAAGCCTAAGAGTCTTGAGGATGCGGTGAACTGTGATGCCACAGCACTCTACCAAAGGTGACAAAGTGAGACTCTGTCTCAAAAAAACAAAAAAAACCCAAACAAACAAAACAAAAAAACACAATGCTTAGGCCCTTCTTCTGATCAATTAAACCAGCCTCTCTGGGATTGAAGTCCAGACATAAACTTTTTCTTAAAAGGTCCCTATGTGCTCTAAATGTGCAGCCCAGGTTAAGATGTGCACCCTGTTAATGATGAACAGAAATTGGCGCATGTCCTGTAAAAAATGTATTAAGCAAGTTTCCTGTAGAGCAACAGCAATGAGAAAAACTTTTAATATTCATAGCCATTACATTTAGCGTTGGAAAACAGCATTATTCTCAAGGAAATACTTTAGGGGTATATAACAATATCAGAATTTTCTCAATTTACTCATGAGATATAAAATAAAGCCTGTCAAAAAATCCATAACTCTACATTTTGTAACTACTCAAGTTAACAAAATATTTTATATAAGTTCTCTGCTTTTTCAATGCATCTGATCAGGTAGGGCAAGTATAATTATCATCACCTCTTAGAGATAAAGAAATTGGCTCTGAAAGCTATCTAAATGGCTCACAAAAGTCATTTAGCTGGTAAAAATCTAAGTCAAGAATAAAACCTAGGTCTTCTGACTCATAGCCAAATATTCTATCCCAGGAGATTTGGCCTAAAACAAACCTCTGTTCTGGTTCCAGTCATGGGCATCACCAAGTTGATTAACATTATACCTGTACCCATCTTGATGGTGAAAATAGTCATCAGTGCTGAACACAATGCCATCACGACTCTGACCAAGCAGAATTCTGTTAATGAAAGAAATCATAAAAGTACTATTTATAAAATCTAGCATCATTAGGAATAAACCACACAGGAAAGGTTATTAAATGAATTTCTGATACTTACCTACAAGTATATAGCCAACAGAAAAGCACAAGAGCTGAACAACCTTAAAAGTTTTCAAATACTACTTCACATCTAAAACTTATTTTTTAATTTTTTTTTTCTTGAGACAGGTTCTCACTCTGTCACCCAGGCTAGCCTGGCATCATCACAGTTCACTGCAATCTCAAACTCCTAAACTCAAGAGATCTTTCTGCCTCAGTCTCTCATGAAGCTAGGGCTACAGGCATGTGCCACCACACCCAACTAATTTTTCTATTTTTTTGTAGAGATGGGACATCACTCTTGTTCAGGGTGGTCTCCAACTCCTGATCTCAAGCAATCCTCCCATCTGGGCCTCCCAAAGTGCTAAGACTATAAGCAAGAATCACCATGCCCAGCCTAAGCTTTGTTTTGAAAATATGGTATCAGAAAAAAATGAAAACCAAAATATGATACCAACTTAAATTTGTAAGGAACAATGATGTTCACAAGAGTTCAGAGAATCAGAGAATTCTCCTACCAATGACTCATGAAAGAGATTGGGAATGTGCTGAGACAGGGAAAACACAGAAAGGTTATGATTTGGATCCAACAATAACAATGTAAAATATTTTGTTTCACTCCTCTCCCTTAACCATTAAGCATGTAATTTTGGGGTAGGGAAGGGTTGGAAGGGAGTAAGAAAGGATTAAATGTAAAAGTCTATTGGCCTGGGATGATTTAATAAAAAAGCAGTAAGAAGGATTTCAACTATTACAGATGACATGTTTGTCATCTCTCCTCAGTTTATAATAAAATCATACACCAGCATCCCTTGGTATCCATGAGGAACTGATTCTAGGACCACCCTCAAATACCAAATCCAAGGATGATGATGAAGATCCAGAGTGGTGGCTCAAGCCTATAATCCTAGCACTGTGGGTGGCCACAGGAGGAGGAAGGTTCACTTGAACACAGGGGTTCAAGACCAACCCAAACAAGAATGAGACCCCTTGGCTTCACACCTGTAGCTCAGCGGCAAGGGTGCCAGCCACATATACCAGAACTGGTAGGTTTGAACCCAGCCTGGGCCTGCCAAACAATGATGACAACTACAACCAAAAAAATAGCTGGGCACTGTGGCAGGCACCTCTAGTCCCAGCTACTTAGGAGGCTAAGGCAAAAGAATTGCTTAAGCCCAAGAGTTTGAGGTTACTGTGAGCTGTGACGGCATACCAGTCTACTGAAGGGGACAGAGTGAGACTCTGTCTCAAAAAAAGAAAGAAAGAATGAGACGCCATCTTTATCAAAAATAGAAACATTAGCTAGGTGTTGTGGTGGGCATGCCTCTAGTCCCAGCCACTCAAGAGGCTGAGGCAGGAGGATCACTTGAACCCAGGAGTTTGAGGTTGCTATAAGCTAGGCTGAGGCCATGGCACCATAGCCTGGGGCAACAAAGTAAAACTGTCTCAAAAAATAAAAAAAGAAAGAATGATGCTCAAGTCTCAAATATATTAAAGGGCTGTTTGCATGTAAACTATGTACATCTTCCTGTATACTTTAAAGACCTAATATAATGTCAATGCTATGTAAATAGTTATTATACTGTATTGTTTAGGGAGTAAGGACAAGATAAAAAAGGCTGTATATATGTTTAATATAGATGGAATTGGTTTTTGTCCAATTATTTTCATGGTTGGTTATATCCACAGATGTGGAACTACAAACATGGAGAGTAGACAGTATGTTTTATAACAAAAATAAAATCACACTTATCAAAATAAAACAATTAAAAAAAAGTATTTCCACTTAAAAAATTGTTCAAATTGCTTCAAACAAACCAAATAAAAGTTAACATCTGGAGACTTGAGTTGGATTTCTTTTTTAAGCAGTGATGATTTTTCCAAAATATATCCATGTAACATATTTGGCATCTTATTTGCCTATATAGATAACCTAGAATATGGACATGCATTCTAAACCAAAGCTCAATTACCCAAAACAAGATTTTGATCATAATCACCATATCTAACTATATTCAACAGTATCAGAAATTCAGACATCACCTTTCCTAAACAGATGCTTCCTTTTCTTCCCCAATTACTTTATTAGCAGATGATTTTAAGATGTTAATAATGCTGGTCACGGTGGCTCTTGCCTATAATCTCAGTACTCTGGGAGGCCAGGGAAGGAATAAACCTGGAGCTCAGGAATTCTAGACTACATCTCTACTACAAACAGAAAAACTAGCTGGGCATTATGGTAGGTGCCTGTAGTTCCTTGCTCTCAAGAGGCTGAGACAGGAGGATCATTTGAACCCCGGAATTTGAGGTTGCCATAAATGAGGCTGATGCCAAGGTACTCCAGCCTGGGCAATAGAGTAAGATTATCTCCAAAAAAAAAAAAAAAGTTAATAATGCTGTATACTACATGACTATTACAGTTTTTGTATTCAAGAAATGATTTAAAATTATCTCAATTTTTTTTTATTTTTTTTAAATTATCTCAAATTTAAAAAAAAAGATGTGGAAGAGACAGTGTATCAATATATAATCAAATCAGGTCAACATCAAACACAAACCTCTATGAAGAATATCTTCTTAAATACATAAATTATAACTAGTGTATAAGTTTAGCTTGGAAAGACATTTTCCTCTCTGACAGGACAGACTGATCATGCATCTTTTTCAAATTCCCTGAACTATCTCAAACTATGAAGCTTTAGGGATTTTAAAAAATAACTATATGAATCTAGAAATATCTGATGTCAGCTCGGCACCTGTGGCTCAAGCAGCTAAGGCGCCAGCCACATACATCTAAGGTGGTGGGTTTGAATCCCCAGCCGGGCCCACCAAACAACAATGATGGCTGCAACCAAAAAATGGCCGGGGCTCGGCACCTATAGCTCAACCGGCTAAGGCGCCAGCCACGTACACCTAAGGTGGCGGGTTCGAATCCCAAGCTCGGACCCGCCAAACAACAAT